CACGCGCACGCACACGCACACGCACACGCACACGCACACGCACACGCACACACACACACACACACATCATACACACGCACACGCACGCACACAAACGGCGCGAAACCAATACGTTCCGCTACACTACGTCAGGAGGATATAAACTACTAAATTACTGCGAAGCGTTTGCCTACATTTTTCCAAGAATCAAACCCCGTTAGTAGAAAACTGACGGGCAAAAGACAAATAATTGTATTAAGCTGGTTTCGTATTAATCACTTCAACATATATTAACCCCGAATTAACAAACAAGGTGCGTACAAGATATTTTATATAGGTTTATATGGATAATTAAGAACTTTAGTAGCGTTAAATTGTTCACAAATAGATACAATTACTGCAAAGCCTAAACTCCTCATTCAATTACTACAATTCATTACTACAGTCGCACCCCATTAGTACGAAACTGCCGGGCCAAAGAAATATAATCGTATTAAGCGGGTTCCGTATATTATATTAGCCTTAATTTGAAAAGAAAAACAATGGATTAGAAGGTGTGTACAAAGTGTTTTATATAGAAATGAATATACCGGGACAGAAAATGTCATGTTAGTAACAGGATTCTTGTATTATTGTCTTAAGTCAATATTTTACTAAAAGATTACTATGAATCGGGCCAGGATTTAGAGAAATCATCGTAGTCTCATCAGCGTAACGAGCGAATATGGCCGCCGGAGGCGGCCATTTTGCGAGTATGAATAAAGCTGGTTGTAGGCCCCCTATATGGTTCTCTGCGAGTTGAGTTACTTTTTCGCATCGTATCTCATTTGCATTAATCCATCCGTCACATGCTTCGCAACGCTGGTGTTGCATGAATTGATTATACCCCAACTAGGCCGGTAACGTTGTGTCTATATAGGTCGTTCTGCAATACGACTGACCTTAGTGCAGCGACAAACAATGTTTCATTCACTATAATATTATGCCACATAGAATGCAAATTCCTATGTCATAAAGCAGCATTAGGCGTCTGCAACCCAACGCCTTCTTAGCCGCGCTTACCTAATTTATGGCCCCCACGAGGGGGACTTGAAGATATACCAGATATTCGTGACAAATTCCTTTCCAATAGCTATTCTATCATTGTCATGTGCTGTTAAAGACGGGAGCTGTTATCCACACGCTCAAATTTAGCCTGCAGTGTTGCAATGGCTGCGTATCCATATTTAAATATCTCCAGCCCACACAGGGCCCTAGTGGCCTCCCAAAAAGTGGCACTGCAGAAATATGTAGTCGATGCGGGGAGTCTGTGGGTACTCCCCCAGAAAAATTTTGAATTGTAGAGCCTGGAAATGGCATTTCCTGCATTTTCGGGCTATGTTGAAAGCAACCAATTCTGATCATTTTAAAAGGTCAATTTGTAAATTTCAAAGAAGAATGTAGTTAAAGCTGATGTTTTGACTAAAGTATCTAAAATATATATTATGAGTATGAAAACTAATAAAACATTATTTACAAAATTGTATATACTGTCAGTACATAATTATGAAAAATAAGCCTATTTTCAATCTGCATTTATACTTTCACTATGTAGATCTGTATGTTTTGAAGTTTGAATTTGAATAGGCACATCAATTGTCATATTAAATACACATTCCAAATCTTAGAGCACTGATATAACACCTCTAATTGATCAGTATTAATAGTAATACCAGACAGTCCAGTCAGCTAGATAACTTGTCATTTTATTTTTTTATTATTCCAATTTTATCTTTGTCTGCTAATGGCGAACTTACAAATTGTCTGAAATTAGCATTTTGTTCCCATCTACCGTTGTCTACATCGTCTCGGCTGCACATGCATGACCATTGGCCATTGTTGAGGCCCTTAAACGTAGGGTCCCGTGCTCGGGTCGGGGGGGGCCACTCCGTATAATATTGCATGGTAGGGGGTGTATGTGCCGCGGGAGAGACCCCATTTTCAAGCTCTAACCCTAACTTCGCGTTGCCAGTGCATCGCAATTTTAAGAATATCTGTTCGCAGCGCATTAAGTTTAGGTTACCATTCGCAGATTTACATTTTGGTCCGTTCGTGCGGAGAACCCTAGTTTTTAAGTATTTCCGTTCCAGTGGCAGCGGTAACTTCAAGAATTAGCGTTGAAGCCGGGCGCGTCAAGGCAATGCATGCAACGTGTGTGTGTTTGTATGTCTGGCGGTGGCGTGGCGTGGCGTGTGTGTGTGTGTGTGTGTGTGTGTGTGTGTGTATGTGTGTGTGTGTGTGTGTGTGCGCGTGCGCGCGTGTGTGCGTGTGCGTGCGTTCATCTCTCTCCGGGTCATGTTTTTTCTCCTCTACATAATACAACAATTATTGGTTCAAGTGCTACAGCATAGATTTTAAAACAAATCACTGTTCCCCCCCCCACAGTTCCGGAGACCCCCTCTTTTAAACGTGTCCAGCGTCATAGCATTGAATTTCAACGAAATCCTAGTTCCGGAGACACCCATTTTCGAACACACAGTTCCAGAGCATACCACATTCAACAAACATTAGTTCCAGAGACCCCAATTTTTAGGTCCGAGTTAGTTCCAGAGCCCCCCCGCCCATTTTTGACTTTGCAGTGGCACATACCTACCATAATGTGGGGTAAGTGCCCTCCGGGGGTTTTATCTCCTTGGTATATCATAATATGTTGCTCCTTGGTTCCCTGCAGAATTGTTTTTTTTCTTCAAAATAGTGCCACGGCAGTGCCGTGCTGCCGTGGCGGCCACTACGGCCCTGCCACATATATACCTAAAGAAAAGTCTAGGCGTTTTGCTCTGTTGAAATGTGCTGGTCTGAGTATAAATATCGAGCCGGTAAATTTAATTGTAAAATGTACAAACAAAAACATCAACAATACAAAATGCTATTATCATAACGACAGTCAGCCTAGCTGCTCTGTCTTACGGTGAGTTTGTGCACAGTGCCATGGGTGGGGTGAAATTGTGATGCAGGGAAGCGTTTGAACTGCATTTACGCGACAATGTTAATTATAAATAAAAGATGACAAAGAATAGATAAACATTTGGAGTCTCGTAATAAATACGTTTCGTGTTTATTTATCATCAATTCATCATTTTATCATTCAAACGTTCCAAGTGCCTGTGAGAAAGAGCACAATATATGACTGTCATTGGTTTGTGACGAAAATTTACACTGCAGTTGTAACGTTAGTTTTTTCATGCTTTTTCGTACAGTTACACGGCTTGTTCCAGGTAATAAAAAACCGACAGTCGCGGGTCCATTTGAGCATTTTATGTTATCCCCATCTACGCCTTTAACTCAGCAAATGCTTTATATATCATAACAATGTCTCAAAAATTGCGTGTTAGACATTGTCACGTGATATATCATGAATGAAACTTCATTGGAGCTGATTGGAGGACCGTACGAGCGCTTATGTGCGCGCCTCAATAATGTTCACTTGTCACTTTCGAAGGACAAAGAAATCGTGGTTGTGGTAGACGGAATGTATTGAAAATAGCTATTATAAGCAGGAATTGACCAAGACTATCTGAAATACACTGTCGTGTATGTTCGGTTTCTATTGTATGTGTATATATAGAAAATGTGTTATACCCTACAAACATTAGTGTATCCCGATCATACCAAGTACCACCACTGCTGTTGTGGTCATCAATAAAACTCGGATTTTATTGTGGGTTTTTCGCGTCGGTTCTGTATTACAGGATGGCATCAAAGAAAGCTAAACTTGGTAAGTTAAGGGAAATTTAATACGTGAAAAATTATTAACATTATTACTTGATTTACGGTTAAATTTATCCTAACTAAGACAACCCGCTCAAGAAATGTTTTGAACTTATTTTTTATCAACATCCAAAATGGCTGCCTCCATTATAACGCTCATAATTTTGTTACGGTTTGTGTACATATAAAGATTTGGAAATAAAGTAATGGTAAATAGACTTTAAATTCATTTTACACGCCTTCCCTGTGGCCGATATTTACAATTGTACCTAAATAATGGCCATGCATTTATCATAAAAGGTCGCAAAACATCTACAATCGTTATAGTTCTGCTAGTGGCTGTATAGATACAATAATCATAATGTAACCCAAACCCAAGAGGATAGGGTTACAACGCGAGCCTATACCTTTTTGCGGAGGAATGCCCGAGTGAATCACTCGGGCAGGTTTGCTGGTGTATTTTTAGAGACTAGAACTTCCAAACTGGGTTTATTCTAAACACGAA